CATGAATCAAATAACTGAACAAATCCATCAAAGTATACGTTGAATTCGGATATATTGCCTTGTAGATGATTGCACTTAGTAACCACTTTCCTACAACTATAAGTAAAATTCCCCTAAAATCTATGCCATAGAATGTATTTGTTGTTTCCCTCATTTTACTCCTTGCTTTGGGTGCTCTTTTGATGCCTACCTGGACGCAATTTTTGGGTTGTCAGACCATTTAAATTCAAAACATTTTGAATTTCCATGTGAGGAGTTCAATTTTACGCCCAATTATGCATTAACGAATTATTTAAGATTTTCCCAACTAAGTGCTAGAAGAACTTTGATTCACTTTTACACAGCCTCTCCCAATTGAGTTTACTGAGAATCCTCCTGTCGATTATATCTCAACATAGTCATGCTAAATTACTGTGAATAGTCACAAACAAGTCGCCTAGTTGGTAGCTGAGCTGGGTTAGAGAAGTCTGATCAATCTGCCATAATATATTCATTTACTAGCATAAAATTAATTAAACTAGTCAATTCGCATTGGTTGTTGAGGTGATATGCAAAGTTTCACCACGCATTTTCCTCTAAATTCTCCGTGAAATTGCTCTAATTTTTCAATCCCGATTTCAACTATCATCCAACTTGAGCAAATTTAGTTGAAAAACACTCGCCTGTACCTTCATACTTTGCCATTTCAAAGCCAACTTTATCTCGAAATTGCATTACGCATTAGATGTGATGTCAACGTGTCTGATGCGTCTAAAGAGATCTCACTACTCATTATGGCGAGTAGGGCGAATCATTTTCCCAGCGAAACTTGCCCCGATTCACTTGTCACTCTCTTTGCAGAATGCCACCAGTGGAGCCTTCAGAGACAATAAATTAAGATCGGCTCACTGACAGGAGGATTCGAGCCGGACGATTCGTCCGACGCTCACCTGTCCACGTCTTTGGTGCGCCTTGTTGGCACCCTCTAGGGCGACACCAATCGCCTGGTACACGAAGTTGTCCAACACTCTGTCCAGTTCGCCGACGGTGGCGAGGTCGCAGAGGATGTTCTCGGCCAGCTGGGCCGATTGAACCTGAAGGTGGGCAACAAGCAAACTGACGGTTTAGGGAAAAGAGGAAGATCACCCTTCAAAGGTGAATTAGTACAAAATTGAACAAGTCATCCGACGAGCAGAGGATGCATTAAATTGACCAATCTTGTCGGTATCCTACTTCCGGTATCGAGGAGCTCACAAACTTCTTGCCCCCCTCCCCTCCCTCCTTTCTTGTGAGGAGAATGTACATAGCAACACTTAATGGATCAAGCTAGTTGATTGGTTAATACTTTGTAATAGGCAATCAGGTATTAAATAATGAGCTCCAATTGCTAATTAACGAATGGTTTGACTTAATGATGGACCAATTGTCATTTGGACCATTTAGCCAATTAGGCTTAGGCCAAACTGCAGGTCATCTGAATTAAAGAATACTAGTCCATCTGTGTCAAACAAATAAAGTAATCTCTTACCTGCGATCGAGAACTGGTTGACGAGTTGATGATAAGCCTCTGGTGATGTATTTCCCGGCATATCTCGAGGCCGGAATGTGTACCAAGAAGGAGGGTTTTCTGTTGGATGAGATAAATATTACTCATGAGTAGGGAAGTTAGGTTAGCTTGCAATATATTTATTGGCAAAAAAGGTAATATTGTCCCCAGGTTCTGCATGATTTTCACAACTGGGAGGAGAACGAAATGTGAATGCGTCTTTGAATAAATCAACTGGAAAAACTTATTTTGATGCGTTGAAAACGAGCTCAGCTGTCCTTTGTCATGCCAATTGACAGACATTCTGAGAGTTTGATCGCATTCTTGCAGAATCAACAATCTGAGGGTAAACCAAAGCGGCTTCAAGTGTTCAGAAGTTGGGAAAAAGACGCACTACAGGTTTCAGAATTTTTCAAGGCTAGCATCGAAGGTATTGCGGATTGAAATCAGAATACCTTAAAATGTAACTTTATCTTAGATTAAACTTTCGACCTCCTCTCTAATGGTCTCATTAGCACATCTATCGGTATACGATACCGGATCGTGAGTATCCTAGCGACACGAGTTAACAGTACACTACCCACTGGCGAGAGTCATTGGGCCACATACAAATTACATTTATATTGGGATTGCCGATAAAGTGAACAAGCAATTCCCATTTCAACCGACATCGTTACTTATTTTTGATGTAAGTAGTGGGATGTATTTAGTATATTTTGTTTAAAGGGATACTGGACTGGTCATTTAATTTTTAATATAATGATATGATTAGGCCTTATGTTTCCATTGAATTCCACGAAGCCTTGTTGCCCAAAATGTACCCATATCCAGGATTAAGTGGACTGCAGTTTCGACCTCGCCCGGATCGGTCCCACCATAAACCCCAGCGGGACTCGAACCCGAGTCATGACAGTGACACGCTAACCAATACGCCAACTAGATGTGAATTTCGAGGAAGGTTATATATTCTGATGGTACTGATAATGAATCAAAGTTGTATTTGTTTTAGCAATCGACTAAATTACCTATTTTTCGTTTATGAGTAAGTTTCTGAGACTACAATTCGATCAAAGATATGAGATGTATTCATCCTATTTCACTTATGGTGATGAGGATATCATTCTGTTTATCATGCTGCCATGCACTGCGACCAAAATATTTAGAATGAGCCCGGCGTGACCTTGTCTATGCCATTATGCCATGTCTACTGAGGAAGTATGGGGAATTTTCCCATTAGCATTGCAGAGTCACGCAAATCTCCATCATAAAATGAGTGTTAGCTGAGCATGACTATGTTGAGTAAGGGGATAAGAGGGAGTATAACATACCCAATAATTGTAGAATCGTATGTATGTATGCGTACGTGCTCACATGTGTTTCTGTATGTATACATGCTGGTTCCCATGTGTTTATGTATGCATGCATAGTGTAGTATGATTGTCGTAGGTGTACGTTTCTTTGAGAATTTATTTGTGCTTCACTTTATATAGGCACTTAGGTGTGTGTGTATATATATATATATATATAATTGTGTGCGTATGTATTTGAATATGAAAAAACATGAATTTTCGAATAAGATAGGACTGATTGTCATTTCTCATTTGGCTGAGCATATAATAATAGCTGATATGATGCAACTAGAATTTCGGAACTTTTTCTATGCAAATACTAATAAGTAATGAGAGTAAATAATCATAGTTATATCAGGTTATGTGGAAAAAAGAGAACTTCTGATTTATTCTAGGATGTATGGACGTTGAAGGATTTATCCCACAGAGGAAGTTAAGACGCTTCGAATATGTACCATTAAAGAAGGATCGGAGATTTGGATAATGGACGCATTTCCGCAAAGATGCGGTGAACAGATTGCAGCTTAGGCCTACCTAAATTTTGTGAAAAAGATATCTACTAAATACATCGGCCACTAATTCCCCTATTTTTCATTAAGCAGCTTTACAAATAGGCCAAATATTTAGTACATTCGGTCAAAAAATCCTTCATAAATTTTTAAATGGTGTATTAGAGCATACTACTGAAAAAACACCCCGAGGAAGTCGGGTAGAATGGAATTTCGGTTTTAAGAAAAATCGGAAAGAAGACAACTGCTCTCCTTCTCTATCGCATTTTGTATGGTTATTTTTCCATTTTTAAGCATAATTGCACCATTTTAAGTAAATTTTTATTTTCATATACTTGATCAGTCCCACAAAGTTTCAATTAATTGAATTTTGCCGATTTGGGATATTACGCTTACCAGAGTTGGGGCTTGGCGGGATGAAGACCAGTATGGAGACTCAGCTTAAGCCGGAGATTATGATGGTAACTAAGGCACTCATAGATAATGATAGAAAATTTACATGTTCAAACACTTTTAATCTTGTAAAACAATCCTAAAAACCAGTTACAATTGGCAGAAATCATTCTCGCACAGTTTGTGTTGCTGGGCTGATCTTTTCATTAGTCAGCTTTTTTATACTTACTTCTTTCGAAAAAGTGAAATGCAAGACAAAGAGTAAACATAGCGATGAATAAATAACATTTTATTCGTTGTGTCAAAGTTCATAAAAAGTCAGACAGACAACCGCTGTATGTGTCCTGGTGGCCGG